GAAACTTGTCCCTTTTTTGCTACCAAACATGATATTATAATTTTCCATAGCATACTTTTTCGGGAATTGAAATATAATCTTGGTACTAAACACCCTCTTAAAGTTCCGTGCTCTTAACTAATGTGACATAAAATAATGGTTGAATTTGTTGAATAAGTTCGTAATCATTTATTTATAAGTGATTGAATTAGTAAATTAAATAATATTGCCAAAAGTAGTGAAATTAATAATTAAATGAATTTGTGGTTAATTGCATGTAAATAAGTAGTTAGTTGAGTTTGACAATTGGCTAAAGTTATACATATATTTGAAGGTACCGTAAAGTTATACATTTGGTAAAATAGTGAGATCTTTGAATAAGTTGTATTAGATTATGTGTTCAATTTTTATTTGTATATAAAAAAAATGTGATTCAATATTAATTCATCGTAAAATGTATCCACCATTTCAATAAGCGATATTAAGTGGTCTATTTAGAACTCATTTGGTTTGAACTTTAGTCAAATTAATTTTAAAATATTTAATATTTAAAGATTTTATTTGTATTTAAGATTGATATTTCATTTTTTTTACAAAAAAATAATTTTATTCAAATAATAAAAATAAAATTACATTCAAATTTTAAATGTACAATTTTGGTATGGATCCTACACTTTTAGAATTAGTTTCACTTACCATATTAATAATGGTATGCATAACAACCTTTTCGGTTTGAACTAAAAAAAAAAACAACCTTTTCGAAATAAGTTTTTATTATTATTTATTTTTGTTTCCAGGAACAAAAATAAATAGGAATTACCTTTTTTGATAGAATGGATTTATTTTTTTTGTTTCTGGAATAAATCGATTTATTTTTTATGTTGGAGAACAATAAAAAAATTTCTGCTTCTCTATTCGTGGTAAAGAATAAGTTTCTCTCACTCTCACAACTTCGTACCAGCTCATACAGCACGAATCAGTTTTCTCTCACTCTCACGACTTCGTACCAGCTCATACACCAACACCGAACTATCACTGCCTTCAACCATATCATCGGTAGGGGTGTGCAAAATAACCAAAAATTTGGGTCGAACCATGAACCGAACCGAACCGCTCCATAAAATAACTGGTTTTTAAAAACCAGTTCATGAACCGAACCGGTTTTTAAAGAACCGGTTCATGAACCGAACCGGTTTAAGAACGGAATCAGTTTTTAGAACCGGTTTAATAACCGAATCGTTTCCGAATCGAACCGAACCATTTTCAAACCGAACCAAATTAATTTTTATAATTTTTAATTTTTTTTCTTTTCAAAAGAGGGTCGTTCCAAACCGAACCACTTTCGAACCGAACCATTTAAACCAAATTCGGTTCGGTTTTTCAAAAAATCCGGTTTGGTTCGACCCATGCACGTCCCTAATCATCGGACCACCACCCTTCCCTTCCCCACAGAAGTTCTTCACACAAGAATAACAGGTATGCTCCTCACCTCTTCGTCTTGATGAATTTGGGGTTAATGGTAGGATTAAATGCTTATTTTGTTATTTAATTTTTCTTCTTGTATGACCTGTGATGTGATCAGAATTTGAAGTTGCAAATATTGAAATTTTTGAAATTGGAGTTAGGGCTCTTGAACGATTACACATGAACCTCTTAGGCTCAAAGTGCCTAAAACAAATTTATTCATCTTATTTTGTGATTGCTCGAGGGATTAAACCTCTCTGTTATGGTGATTCTTGTACCCAAGCTCTATCTTCATGGCCGAAGGAGCTCGACCTCAGATCTGAAAAAGTGTCGTCCATTCAACTAAAAATAATTTAATATTATTAAATTTTTTCTTGTGCGCCTACGTACAGATTTGTGGTTAGTGTTATTCTTCCACTTAATTGTCTTCATATTCACGTTGTCCAAAGTCCAAACTAATACACAGTACATGTTCATCATTACCTTCTATGAAAAGCTTAAGAAAAAGACAAGTATTATTCAATTATTTCTTTTTCTCAAGGTAATTGATCTTTTTCTCTTTTTGATAAAATGTTAGTAAACATGGTGGGTTTTGTGGTGGACCAGTGCACCACTAAATTATACCGGGGATTGTAGGTAAAGGCATTATATCCGGTGGACTAGCTCTTCCGAGCTTATTCATATTTAGCGTGTCCATGCTCCAGACTCAACATGTCATGTTTAACAACAACTAGCTCTTCCGAGCTTATTCATATTTAGCTGAAATTAACAAATATTTTTGTTCTAGGATTACTTTTTACTTTAGCACAAACAGGGCAGTATTGGTTTATAAAAAAAATAATGATAATATAACTCTGGCTAATCTTATATTTTTAAATCAACGGTTCTGATTAATGACCTGGAAATTTTTTAGGTGAGAATAGTTTGAAGATTGCAAACTGATTCTTCTCTTACAAACGGAACTAGCTCTAGCTCACAGTAGTTTGTCTTTGAATCGTGATCGAATTTGTGTTGCCTTTGTAGGATTGATTAACAGTCACGAGCTTTACATTTGCCTCTCTGTTACGGTTGCTAATGCAGTTGTTATGAAACCTACACCAAAAGAATCTCCTTGTACACGAGTGAGTAGGGCTAGGCACTATGTGATAGAAGCTTAGAAGTGTTAATGAAATCTATAAAAAAAGTAAAGAAATAGATTTATATTATGTTATCAAATGTAATTCTGATTCTCAGAATAAAACAAACGTGTTAACAAAGTAATTCTGATTCTCGAAATAAAAATAAAACATATTAACAAACGTAATTCTAATTCTTAAAATTCTTCTAAGACACAGAAATAAAAAAGAACCATTTCTTTTCAGAAGTAGTGCCAGAAAATAAAATGATTTTCCAGCCTAATTGTAATCCTATCAGAAATAGGAAATTTGACAAATTATTATTTTACAACATTCTATTTTTATCCTATTAATAATTCTAATTCTATTAAAAATATGCAAGTTCGCATATTATTATCCTACCGTGTTAGTTAGTTTGCTTTTCCTACCGTGTTAGTTAGTTAGTTTGCTTCTTGAAGTCTATTAGCAATTAATCCTATTTGGTAGGAGTTTTTTTTTTTTTTTTTTCAAGATACTTAAGTACCTGAGATTGGTATTCTGTGTTGTCCTTGTTTAGTAAAAGATATTAAATTTTTTTGCCAGCAAACTTATTTAGCCAGAGTTTGGCAATTGTATGGAAAATGAGACGAAAAACACTGCAATAATATTACTTCAAATATGATATTTGAGCATGTGTTTGAATCTCTCTAGTATTATCTTTGGGAGGAGTTTAAAATCTTAATCCGGACCCGTCCCGAATCGAATTAATTGTGAAACAATAAACCGATTGGAATATTTTAAAAAAGAGAAAGATGATATTTGAAGATAACCGGCTAAATGGAAAAAAAATAGCATGAAATACCTGACAAAAAAAAAATGAGATGGTGAATGGAGGAGTCTTTTTTAAAAATAGTATTTGCAAATGACGTGCTTGAATTTAGCTTTAGAAGTGGCTAATGGGTTTATATGGTAAAAGAGATTGCAAAAGAGATGTTCATATATTCTGTTTAGCTGGTCTAAAAGTAGCCTTAGAACAACAATGAATTAACATAAAGCCAGAAGCATTAAATGGAAAAGAGATGTTCACAAGCTTCCTGGTCGCAACTCAATGAAGTAAACATACACTACATGTTTATCTCTCATCCATAAAAAAGATGAAAAAAAGAAAAAGAAAAGAGAAAGGACAAAAACAGAATTGTATTTTTCTATCAAATAATTTAATTCAATTTTTTTAATAATATTTTAGCCTATCAAATAATTTTTTTTAATTTTCTTATCAAACTTATTTTTTCATTATATTTTTAATAGTTATAATTTTTTTTTATCTTCTATCAAACATCGGCTTTTTCACCCTTTTGCCCCTTATTAATTAATTAATAACCATTTTGCCCCTGATTTGAAACTATTTATCAATCTGTCCCTCTTTAATCGACTACCTTGCATTTTTAATCGACTAAATGGCCAAAACAGACAAAAAATGGTTGTTGGGAGATTTAGTCGACTAAATCTCCCTATTTAGTCGACTAAATCTCCATATTTGACAAAAAAGAGAGTAGCCAGTATGATTTTAATCGATTAAGTAGGGAGATTTAGTCGATTAAATCTTTTAACAACCATTTAGTCGATTAAACATGCAAAGTAGTCGATTAAAGAGGGGCAGATTGATAAATAGTTTCGAATCAGAGACAAAATAGTTATTAATTAATTAATAAGGGGCAAAAAGGTCAAATAGCCATCAAACATCCCCTTGAAATAGGCAAGTCTTTTCCTGGTATTATTTTTTAGAGTAATTTAAAGTTTTAATTTCATAAATAGCCTTGAATCGAATTAATTTTAAAACGATAAACTAATTAAAATATTTTTAAAAAAATAGGCAAGTCCATATATCCTTATTTTATTTGCTTTTATTATATCATCATTTCTTCATTATAATTCCCGTATCCACTAATTGAATAAGCTGAAGTATTTAGGCTATGTTTGATTAATGTTTTTAAAAATAATATTTTAGTTTTCAGAACAAAAATATAAAAAAACTCGTAAGACCTGTTTTATAAAAAATGTTTTAAAAATTATAACAATTTTTTTGTTTTTAGAATTAAATTTAGAGAACATGTATGAGATGTTTTTGTTTTTTATTTTGATTTTTAACTTTTAAAAATAAAATAAAATATAGAAAACAACTGTTTTTATAACTAGTTTACAAAACAGTTTTAAGAACAAAAAAAACAGAACACAATCAAACAACATGGTCTTAGGAGACGTTTGGTACAGGAGAAATTTTTATTTGTTCAAGAATCTCAATTTTTAAAAATATATTTTTTACATTCAAGTTTATTATAATATCTTGAAAATTTAAAATTTTAAAAATTTCAATTTTCCGATAATCTGACAAAAATGCGTGTAACAAACGGTGACTTAGTTTTTTTTTTCCCTTGCCTTTAATTGATTCTGTGCGTTTTGCACATTGCATCATCTAGGTTATACTTTTATCTTATTTTATATTTATTTATTTTTCAGTTTCTTCTCCCTCAGCGTTCTTCGTTTTCGCCTTCTCCAACTCTCTCTGCACGCAAGAGTCGCAGCCTCTCTCTGGTAAGCCTTCGTCCTCTGCTCTGATTTTTTCTCCGTGATTTCGTTCATTAGTTTGGAACGCTACCATGAGAGATTTAGGTCATCTGCGTTTGGGAAATTTGGACAAGAGAAAGTTAAAACACCAAATTTTATACTCAGTTTAGTTTTATGCAGTAAACTATGTTATTGAATGGGGATTTTCTGCACAAGACTAAACTTGGTAGATATTTGCCACCAGTTTTTTAAGATGGTTTTCTTTTATAAAATTGAACGTAATCAGAAATTGTTTTCCCCCTAATCAGAGTCTTAATCTTGGTCCTGCTGTCCAAATTAATTTGATGCTTTAAAGGGGCCAAACTTTCTATTTACTATTAATTTTTCTGACCAGCATGTATTGTGATTATTTGATTTATTTTATAGGTTTAAGCCGGAAAAAGTCACCTGATAATAATCACAGTCCAGTTTGCTAAACCAAGTTATTATAATATCAAGTTGAAATTTTCTGCATAAACTGTTTGATGCTCATGGTTTGGTGTCCTGTTCTGTTCTGCGTTCTTAGAATGGTTCATGTGTGTTTAATTTTGACAAGAAAACTCATCATACTGCATACTTTTTCCATGCTATTCAAGGAGAATTCAGCTTGATAGAAAATGCACGCACATACCCCACAAGTTTCTGTCGTCCAAAGGGATAATATTCTGCATCAATGATTACTAATTTCTTTGACAGTATAATCTATCAAGAATTCTCGGATTCCTGTTTGTCTTACTGTGTTGCTGCATAATTTTTTATCAAGACAACATTTTGCTAGTCTAGGATCAAGGAGGGCTGGTTACATAATTTTGTTTTGGGACTCTTTCTCTTTGGTTGCTCCTGTTTGGACTGAATCTAAACATCCTAGCACCTTTGCATGTCACGGAACTAGCTTAAATATCTGGTGTTTTATTGAGCTTGATATATTAGCAAACTGAGTTCTATTTGGTTGGATTAAAATTTTGATTTCTGGTTTTGTTAGATAAAGGATTCTAGAAGGAGTATGTGTGCATGTGAATGTAATATTATAAATATATTTGGAACCAAATCTGTGGATGAAGATTGTGAGCTATTATGGATGAAGATTATATTGGATGATCTTGGGATAAAGTATGAAACTCCTATGAAGTTGTTTGTAACAACAAATGAGCCATTAGCATGTCTCATATTCCTGCTTGGCATGATAGAAATAGAACTAAACATATTGGGAGACCGACATTTCATAAAATAGAAAGTAGATAGTGGACTAAATACCACAGCATATGTTTCTTCCGGGGGTCTAGTTGGCAGATGTGTTAACTAAAGGACTTCCTATGAAGAGGTTTCAAGATCTTACTCGCAAGTTGGGAGTGATAAATATCCATTCATCGGCTTGAGGAGGAGTGTTGTAAAAGTACCACATCAGTCCCGCATACTTTACCCCTCAATGTTCTTTGTAAAATCATTGTAATTATATTATTATAGAATATTCTGTTACCATAGATTAGTGGTTATTTTAAGCAGCTAAATATTTAGCTAGGTCTATATATTAGAATGAGCATGTGTACGGTTTAATCAATTAAGAAATAATGTTTAGCATTTTTCCTCCCAAGTTTTCAAAACATTTGTTTGTTTAACTCATTTTCTTTTCGAGTTTGACCTTTCCTTTGATTCTATGTTCTTACTTTTTGCTTGGCATTGCAAGTTCAGTGTTTGCCACTAAAAGCCTACATCGTCTATCTCATCTTTATTTGTCACATATGTTCTTCCTTCCTCCTTCCTTCAAATAATTAAACCTTTCGTTTTTTTCTTTAACACGAGAAGAGCTTCCATGGAAAACGGAGATATCCCTGAGAATGCCAATGAGCGTATGTATATTTTTTTTTTTTTTTTTTTTTTGAATTTCTATTTGCTTCTATATATGGCTATGAATACGACTTTTTTTTTTTTGTATTGTGGCATTTACAGATTGCCCAGGTCCTCAGTCCGAATCTGCTGGAAAATCTGATGCATGCGAAGGATGCCCAAATCAGCAAATTTGTGCCACTGCCCCCAAAGGACCTGACCCTGGTACCCTCCACCTTTATCTTTTGCTTTTATGCTTCTTTCCAATAACTATCAACTACTTCAAAATGACATGATTTATTTTTATAAGTTTGTTCAGGCATCATAGCTAATGATTCTGGAATTTGGGACTATTTCTCAGTTTGTTGTGAACCCAGTGTGCTCACTTTGTGGATATTGCTAGTAGTATGATTTCTCCTCAGGCTCGTTGTAGTTGTAGTCAATGCTTATATCATTATATGTGTTGACTACCAAGGAAAGGGAGTGAATCATCTCCTTCATAGTTCATACCCTTGTTATCTATCATATGTTGGATTTTGGGATGTCATTTCATGTCAAGAAATTTTAAAGCAAGGACTAGGGACGCATGTGATATGATGTTGTTTTGCCTAGTTCATTTATTGTTCGGTCTAGTTGGTGTTATTAATTCATTTGATGTTTGATAGTAGGTATTGCTTTGTTAAGAATTTATTATGTGATTTGTGAATATAGTTTTAGGTAATTGAATGAAGGTTAGCTTCAAACTAAATTCTTTTCTGATTGTCCTGTTAAACATCCTAAGTGTTGTACAAAGTAATAAAGAAACCATTCAGTAAGATTGATTTGCTCCTAATGTAAAAGAAAATTTTAGAAATTTGTTTATTGTAGTTTCTAGGTATTCCATTCTTTGTTTGTCCTCATTTGTTTTGGAACTTGTGTTGGCAAATTTTTTCAATCAGACCTACTGATTGAAAATGCTTTTTGGCCCTTAGTATCAACCCTCCATATTGAATTTATCCATTGTTGGATTTATAGTTCTTAGTATTGTGTATTAGGGTTTATCAATTGTTAAGGTATAATAGCTGATCTTGCATATGTTAGTTTTAAGTCTTACCATGGATACTACCCATCAAGATGCAGGACCTAGTGAAGGCAACATAGCCCCAGTCGTGCGCAATGCGCAGCCTGGGATCACTGAACGATCCCCGCTTGAAAGAACCGTCAACTTTCTACTCGACAGCATTCGCATTGGAACATTCTACAACAACCATCCTAAATACAGGAGCTATGTTCATTTAAAGAGAAATCAAATCTTGAACAGCCTTGTGAATCTGTACACACAGATTTTCGCAGCCCACTGGACCCATATCCGTATGTTAGTTGAAACTTTCCCATTTGGACCAGAGTTTTCTGGTAATCATTAGCGCCATGCGGCCGCTGTTAACATAAAGACTTGTTAACATAAAGACTTAAGCCAACTGGTCATAATAAAATACCCAAACTCTAGTTAGTGTATTGTGCATGGGGGAGGGAGACAGACAATAAGCACCTGCTACAGGCTCTCAAAACAAGTGTGCTTCTTTGTTTTGTGACAAGAAGTTCGTAACAATATATTTTGAAGAGCATTCTGCCACTGCTCTGCATCCAAGAGCTTTCCACCATAGCTCTTTAAATATTTCTCTAATTCCAGTTTGACTCAAGCCTAGGTGTGACTTGGCATCTTCCATCAATTCTCAAAGGTCTCAACAGTATTGTTTTATTCTTCACAGCACAAACCAAGGAATTGGGAGTTACACAACGGGGCAAAACTTGATTTTTAATCTAATCTATGAAATAAACATATTTTGTTAGTTTTCCAAGTAGCATTTTGGTCTTTGAGGTTGCATTTATCTTAATTCAATGTATTTATCAATTCAATGTTTCGATCAACACACTCGTTGTGCAATAAGCCTTGTCTATCATTCGGTAATTATTCAAATCTGATCCCATACAGTTCATGATACATTAAAAATTATGTTTTTTAAGATAGTTATCATATGGCACTAACAAGTAACAAGTATGAGTTGGATTGCATTTCATTTTTTAGTGTTCTTGTCATGCTTTCACTGACAGATGGCTTGTATAACTAGCTAGCTTGTGACATGATTTATATAATGTGTTCTTCTCTCTAATAATAGTTCGAAGGATGATTAAGATATTTGATCAGCAAGTTAGTACTTCGAAACTGATTATTTTTATCCTAGAAATATTCTTTTTGGCTCCTCTTATTGTCCCTTTATCGTTAATGGTGATAGAGCATTTTTTTCTTGACGGAAAAAACTGGTGCTTTCTTGCTATTATATTTTTTCTGTAGAAATCTTTGTTTTGTTTGAATCGAGCCTTCTGAATTTTAGAAAAATTTCAAATTCAATTGCCTTCATTTTAAAGAATTTTGGTCACCTTGTCTTCTACATTTGTCTCTGCAGATCTGGTTGCCATTGCAGAAAGAATGACTACTGTGAAACATAAGATATTGGTCTTATCAGGGAAGGGAGGAGTTGGCAAGAGCACATTTTCTGCCCAGCTAGCATTTGCTTTAGCGGCAAGGGATTTTCAAGTGGGTCTTCTTGACATTGACATTTGTGGTCCAAGCATCCCAAAGATGCTAGGCCTAGAAGGTCAAGAGATACACCAGAGCAACCTTGGGTGGTCCCCTGTCTATGTGGAGTCCAACCTTGGGGTCATGTCTATCGGGTTCATGCTTCCTGATCCTGATGAAGCTGTTATATGGAGAGGTCCACGCAAAAATGGGCTTATCAAGCAGTTTTTAAAAGATGTCTACTGGGGTGAAATTGATTTTCTAATTGTTGATGCTCCACCTGGAACCTCAGATGAACACATTTCAATTGTTCAATGCCTTGATGCCACTGGAGTAGATGGTGCAATCATAGTTACTACTCCTCAGCAAGTCTCTCTTGCGGATGTGAGAAAAGAAGTGAATTTTTGCAAGAAAGTTGGAGTGAAAGTTCTTGGGGTTGTAGAGAATATGAGTGGCCTGTGCCAGCCCATCACAGATTTCAAGTTTATGAAGTTGACAGATAATGGAGATCAGAAAGATGTTACAGAGTGGGTTTGGGAATACATGAGAGAAAAAGCGCCTGAAATGCTGAATTTGATTGCTTGCAGTGAAGTGTTCGATAGTAGTCGTGGTGGAGCAGTGAAGATGTGCAACGAAATGGGGGTACCTTTTCTTGGTAAGGTTCCTTTAGATCCGCAGCTTTGTAAGGCTGCTGAAGAAGGTAGATCCTGCTTTGCTGATAAAGATTGTGTTGTGAGTGCTCCAGCATTAAAGAAGATTATAGAGAAGTTGATGGAAACTAATGGGCTGTCAATGTTAGTAAGTAATGGAGTGTAGCCGATTTGCTTTATGGTGATCTTTGTAAATTAAAATCTAATTTTGTCTCTGAACCTCGTTACACAGAAAAATTTGTTTAGTACTTTTGTTTTAAGGCATGTAAAACTATGATACGGGGTTGAGACATTTTGGGACTAGAAAGTATTAGTTTTCAGGTGCACTATGCAGTACGCTCTTTTCAATATAGTTACAGACAATTTTATAGTAAAATAAGTTCCCCATTTTGTGTGACATTGTAAGTTGTATTCTGTCTGAAATGTTTATTTCGACTGTGGATTTTTGTGATTATATTTTCTTCAAGTACATTGGAGTTGCTATTCTTTGAGTTGCATTGGAATTTTGTTTTAAATTGAATGTGACTTGGTCAAGTGACACTGTTTAGCTCGAATCCTTTCGTTGGTAAACTATTCATGTAGAATTGGGACGCGAAATCTCGTTCAAAGTTTAAGTTGCATCTGAAAGAGTTGTCCATAATTGATCAGCTATATATGGAGAATTGGGACGACTGGTACATTTAATTCCCCGCTGATCATATTTTGTGGATAGCTGTCATAAAGTTACTGATCTGCAATACTAAATGCGAAGAAGCTAATCCGAAATATAAACGTGATCGTTACAATTACCTTAGGTTGATCCAAGAAAATACTTTAACAACGTATGAAACATCAACTTGATCTGAATTTCCACTCTATCTTTTCTTTTATGCAGTTGCTAGATTGCTATAGTTTTCAGTTTTCACATCTATGTCATGGGCGAGTTCGTAAGAATTTCTCCTGGTCGGAAGACTACGGTTGTTACCTGCATTATAGTACATAAAAAGGCTTTTATCTCATTCGAGAAATGGCAATATTAAATCCAGGTTACTAGGCTCAACAAGACATATTATGACGTATGATAGAAGGACGTAAGGTAGTGTTTGGCTAGGGAGTTTTCAAAATTATCCTAAGGAAGTGTATGTGGCATTGTGATTTCTCCATGTTTGGTAGAAGGAAATTTTCAATTTTATCTATCAAACTAGGTTGCCTAGCTAAATTGGATTACACGTAAAAAATGAGATAATACACTATTGATGAATCCATCTAAGAATGTGATATTTTTGTTCATAAACCGGATAAAAAAATTTTGGGGAAGAAAATGGTGACAAGTTGGAACATTTCTATCTAAATTTTATTTTAAACCAAACACACAATAGGATTTTTAACCTAATATTTTCAGTAATATTTTGTGATACCAAACAATTTTTTTTAAACTTTCTTACCAAAATTATTTTTCTACACTTTTCCTTCTAATTACATTTTCCTAATAAATGAAAATATCTCCTGAACCAAACACTACCTTATAGATAACTGGACTCACATCATTCTGCCATCGTGATAAATTTTTTTTGACTCTGCCAATGATAAAATGGGGGCTTTTGCCGCTACCAATGCATTTTATGAAATATTCGGCGGTTTAGTTTAATGGTGAAATGTATTACCATAGTGATACAGCAAGAGACTACGTGTTTAGTCATGTTATCACAATGTGTGTTTAAGACAATCTGAATATGTACAATTCGTGTCTGATGGCATCAGGTGTGCGTTCTAATGGCGTGTGCATGTTTGTCAAAAGTGATTGTCACACTGCGCATGGTCATATAGTCACATTAGTACCAGATGCACATTTGGTCACAATTACACCAGGAGTACGTTTAAATCTGCATTATTCTGGCAATAAGTTTGACTAAAGAATTAAACTAGTAGAATATCTCAAAAAATGCGTTTATCATGTAAAAAAGCCGATAAAATGAGAAATAATTTTTCAGATATGATATTTTAAATTTTTTTTCTTTACCAAAATGTGACATTTTGGTCATCATTCCGTTAAATCCACATTTGGTTTTCTATTATGTTATTTATTTGTTATTATTATTATTATTATTATTATTATTATTATTATTATTTATTTACTTTTACCGTAGAGTTTTTTTAACTCTCTCTCTCTCTGTGTGTCAAACCATCGAAAAAAACCTAAGACTCACTCGACCAGCCCTACCACTTCCGGTGAACGGCAAACGGCAAGGAGCGACTGACTTCCGGCGACGATTTTCTGTTTAAGGTTCTCTCAGTTTTATTTTATTTTTTTTTGTTTTTTGTTTTGTAATGTTTTCTCTCTGTTTTTGCTTAACATGGATTTGGAGTTTGAACTCTGGTATTATGTCATGCAAGTATCTAAAGTGATGTGGATTTTTTTTCCACAGAAACTCTGCGTATGTTAACATACTAAGAGTGAACACAGCTTCATGACATTTTTGAAAGCTGAAGCAAAAGGTATTTTAACTTTAGCAAGAGTTGAAATTGCTTTGTGATCCATATTTATTTCTTTTCATCTGTCCAATTTTATTAATCTATATAATTTTTTTCAATTCTGTTCAAATCCAAATCTGTTGAACAGATTCTGTTCAACTTCTTTTTGTTTATTCAAATTATTTTTTATTCCAATTTTGTTGATCCACATTACTAGTTTTGACTTTTGACAACTGAGCCAACTTTGTTCCAGCAACCAAATTGAAGATGGCAGCCAATGAACAGACATCTTCAAGAGTTAGGAATGACAATATTTTCAAATGTTAATTGACAGGATTTATAATTCTTGTTAGTAATGACAGTGATATTATTTTTAATTATGAATGAATGTCTTTATTTTTTATCATTTATATGTGTGGTATATCTATATAGTAGGTTCATACATAGGAGTTTGCTGCTGCGCTAAAGCGCTATAACATTTTTACCCACATTTGATAACTATGGGTTCTTCATGAGTGAGTTTTGCCAAATGCTACTGTGAATTACAAAGTTGTGAGTTTGAGTTTTTGTCTGGTTTGGTTCATGGTAATGGTTATGTAGCAATGAAAAATAGTGACAACTCTTTTTGTGAGTTTTTTGGAAGCAATATAGTGCACTCTGCTAGCCCTCTTTCTCACACCTTTTTTCTGTTGACTCTAGCTTAAAAGGCCAAAGGGAAGGAAGATGAAGACAATCTCTGGACATGGTGTTTCATTGAAAGAAATATCACTTTTGAAAGCGGCAAAAATTCTCTCGAAGTTTGTCTCTGCCGAGAATGGTGCTTCACATGTCATCAGTGCATATCTCCACCGGGCTTCTGCATCTTTCAATGAGCTGGACCAGCTCCACAAGGAGCTTAAGCCAGACTGTTTGGCAAGTCCAATCTAAGGACGAGTTTAGAAGGCAACGGTTTGGCAGTGAGAATGCTGATGAGGATGATGAAAAATCAACTCAGACTGTTGTTAAATTCAGTCAAGAACTTGATGGTTCTATTGGATATCAAGCAGGAAATATGGGTGGGAGTGAGAAGCACAAGAAGAATAAAAAGAAGCAGCAGGAAGTTGAGTCCGGGCACCATATCGGAATTAAATTTGGAGAGAGGGAAGGTGATCAAAAACTATCTACCGGGGAAAAATATGAAATTTTTTCAGGCCGAGAACAAGGCAATGAAGGGGAGAAACAAAAAAAAGGAGAAGAAGAAAAAGCACAAGGATGGTAATTGTAATTTTTTCCAGTAATAAGGGTGAGGTTGAAAATCTAGAAGGTGAGAAAATAGAGGGACAAGGACAACAGAAATAGATAGAAAAGAAGTTATGCAACATTGTGGAGGGTGAAAATGGAGGGCTAGTTGGTCCTCAGGACTTGCAAATTAAGAAGAAAAAGAAACATGAGTCAGGGAATGAGAATAAGTTGTATTCTGAAGAGGTAAAGATGGAGAACAAAGGAAGAAGAGGAAGAATGAAGATGTGGAAGGGAGACAAGAAGATAGATCAGGGGAACTGACTAAGAAGAGAATGAAAAGGAAGCACCAGGGCGATCCTCAATTTTAGGTGTTTTATAAATTCACTTGATAGTTAGTTTAATCTTTTTTGAAATTTATAAACAATATGCGAGTGAATTTTGGCATCCTTGATGTATTGGGAGAGTTACTGGCCTCTCTAAGCGTCAGCTTTATATTTTTTATTTGTTTTCCTTATTCTGTCATATGAGTTGTAATCTGGAATTTCCAGAACATCACAATATCAATACAAATCAGATTTTCTTCTTTTTTATCTATCCTTATAATCTCTGGTACCTATTGGAGAGGGAGCGAATCATCTTCATTGTTCATACCCTTGTTATCATAAGTTGGATTTTGGCAATTGGGATGTTATTTCATGTCAAGAAATTTTGAAGGGAAGTATTTGATATGACATTGTTTTGCCTATTTCATTTACTTTTCGGTCTAGTTGGTGTTATTAATTCATTTGACGTTTAATAGTAGGTATTGTTTTGTGACGTATTTAATATTTATTACGCTTTGTTTATGATTATAGTTTTAGGTAATTGAATAAAGGTTACGCTTTGTTCAAAATCCTAAGTGCTGTAAATTGTATCTGACTTGGTCAAATGAAATTGTTTCGCTTGAATCCTTTGGTTGGTAAACTATTCATGCCTTGGGGAATTTGGTAGAGGAATTTTTTTTTTTTTTTATCCGGGAATCTCAATTTTCAGAAATATAATTTTTACGTTCAGTTTACGATAATATCTGAAAATTAAAAATTTAGAAAAATTCAGTTTCCCGAAAATCTTCAAAAATCCCACGTACCAAACTTTATATATTATTCTTGGAGAATTGGGACGCGAAATTTCGTTCATAGTTGAAGGTGCATCTGAAAGAGTTTAATTGATCAGCTATATATGTAGAATTGGGACAACTGGTACATTTAATTACCCGCTCATCATATTTTGTGGATAGTTGTCCTAAAGGAAAATATTTTTGGTGTTGCAGTTGTACCAAACACTCATACATTATTTATCAAATATGGCAAAAAGTAACATTTTTACAGTATTCTTAATTGGGTTATACAAGTATTATGTTACAACAATTGTCCATAATTTTCCAGCAGAGACAAAAGTGAAGATAGAGAAAGTGATAGGAGAAAAAAAGAAGAAAAATTGTGGACCCCTTGTTTTCATTGTTTGGGCAGGAAAGGAATTTGTTTTCCAGTTACATAATATTAATATTACCCTAATTAATTTTATAGTTATTTTCATCTATATTCCATAATTTTCCTTCTTTGATAAAGGAGTTGGTATTTCCGGTGCTTGTCCTAAAGATATTGATCTGCAATACTAAATAACAAGAAGCTAATCCGAGAAACATACTTGGACAACCCATGAAGCGTCAACTTGATCTGAATTTACATGCTCCAGTTCTCCATCATATTTTCATTCATGCAGTTGCCAGATTGCTATAGTTTTCAGTTTTCACATTCATTTTTTTTTGGATACATGAGAGGTTTAAAACACACACCACCTAACATAACTACCTACATCCCTCACCAATAGACTAATTTAGTGGCTAATTTTTGGCTTTTTGACCCTAGTAGTCAAGTTTTCTTAAGGTTTAACCGGAAAAATTTATTGGTCAAACTTATTATCTATATAATACATAACGACGTGGTACTATGGGAACCGCTTTAAGATGTAACACTTAAACAACCGCGTCCTTTGTATTTGTTTCTGGCCAATTACGTGCGAATGAGTGTAGAATAATTGCGCTAAAACGCGGTACCCTCTCAGCCATGTCCTTTGCAAAAATAATTGCACAAGACGCGGTACAATATCAGCCGCGTGTCAGTGCGTCAGATCCAACCTGACACGGTCCTGGTCGTATACCCTCTCATATCCAATTCTCACGCAACGGTGGATTTCAAATTGCATGCAACGCATTCGTTAGCCTTCATGTCTTATAACAGTTGTTCACCTATCGCGTCGTTATGCATTATACTAGTATATCGTTTCATCATGAAATTATTCCAGTGATAGATTTTAAACAACATACCACTAGGGTCAAAAGGCACTAATTTTCACATCCATTTTAACGAGGGGAGTTTGTAGGCAAAAAAATTAAAATATTACACTTTTAATAATTAATTACGAATAGGTTGCAGTTTGAAAACTATGTTCGAATTTACTGCAGTCATTCACGCCCAAAATGGGCGGGACAATTCACGCCCAAGTTAGGCGTGAATTACAGGAAATTCACGCCCAAAGTAGGCGTGACAATTCACGCCCAATCCAGGCGTGAATTGCTTGACCTATAAAAATCCCAAAAATTTCACTTTTCCATCTGACACCTTCTCTCTAACTTCTCTCTAAAGTTGGTCTACCTTCTCTCTAGATTATTTGTGGAGCATTTTGTGCGGCGAAGACCTGTCGAACAAGTAAGTCTTCATATCTATTTTATTAATTTTTTAAATATAATATTATACATGTTATAATAGTAATTTAGGGTGTTGCACATTTAACTGTTATTACAGTGGTCTAGAAATATGTTAAAGTAGTGTCTTAAACCCTAGGAATATAATAGTGACTGTGGAATACAATAGTGACTGTGAAATATATTAGTGAACTAGGAATATTGTATACATTTAATTAAATATTTTTTGTAGGTAATGTAATTTAATATTTTTGTTAACACATATAAATTATTATTTTTTTGTAACACATGTAATTAAATATTTTTTGTAACACAAGTAATTAATTTTTTTTTAACACATGTAAATTAATATTTTTTGTAACACATATGTAATTAGTTAATTTTTGTAACACATGTAATTAATGTAATGACTTTTGAATATATTAATGAAACAAATTAATTTATTATTGTGTATAGTACACTATTATGGCTGACTCATCATCGTCGGAGTCACCTCGGTCTACATCCGATACTGAGGCTCAGGGTGAGCTTTCGGATCCCAGGACCCATGTGCTTCCAGGACCATACAAGTGGGACGTACTTAGGAGGCACACGTAGCGCACACATGTTTCACAGGTTGTGTGGAACGAGGAGAAGTGTCGCCAGTGCAAGACTAGACGTGGAAAGATACAGGGGGGCCATCTCCTGATGATATTTCTGATCTCGTGGAAGACTACCTGCAGCAGGCTGGCTTCCTACATGTCGCCCGCATGCGGCATATTCAGGTACACATATAAGAAAGTACCGGTCATGAAACTTTTAATTTAATAATAAATGTGAAAAATTTAGTGTATGCTTAAGCAAGTTTATTTTGATAATAAATTTCTGCATTTATTTCAGATTGATCCCATGTTGATCAGTGCTCTGGTGGAGACCAGAGACACATACGTTCCATATGACGCAGGGCGAGATGACCATTACGTTCCATATGATAATAAATGATGGCTCCTCTCGTATCATTCCTAACAATCATATTGTAGTTAGACATTAAACCTTAACTATAAATTCAATTTCCTTGACAAAATAATCAAATAACATACCTAGTACGAGTGAAGCAATCACATCAGCATCAAGCTGTCTATGACCCTGAGAAATATGATCATTCAAGCAATTGTGGTCTCCACCCCATTTAGTAACCTTCCATTTTTCACCGTACATGTTGGTTTTATTACCCTAACCCTCCACGGGCAACACTGTTCATCCACACAACATTTCATTCTTAATTTGGTAGGCGTGCTCTCAAGAACGATCGCTTCTTCTCTTTCATTAGGTTTCTCTTGATTGCCATGTGCGCCTCTTTTTTTGATTCAAATTCTTGCTTAACATACAACTTGTTACCTATTATCCATGGACCATTAATTGAACCTGAGCCTGAGCCAGAACTTGAACCGTCGTTAAAAGAATCTTGTTCCCTCGGATGATCCCAATTAATGTATGTGTAATGTGGAATTTCTTTCCAAAATGGAACAACATCGTCACCTGCAAGTACGAAATTAGACATTAAAACCCAAAAAGCTGCAAATATAAATGTATATTTTCAGCCAGTTACTTACTTACCTTCCGAAATTGGCGGTAACTAAGTGAACGCGACGTTATGATGTTCCTGGACATGAGACTCCCCCACAACATTATATTCTAGGATTTGAGTTTCAGGAATACCACATTCATCATCGTTGTCTGAAGCGCTAGCATCCTCAGCAAGAAGTTGATCTTCCATTGCAATATTTTCATCATCGTCATCCTCACCATCATCTTCCATAACCCAAGTAGGGTCATTTTCTCCTTCCTCAGACAGATTACCAACTGGAGCAGCAGATGATGATGCATTAAGTGCAAAATTTAAATCAACTGACCTCACGGGTATAGCAACATCCTCTGTTTCAGCAATATCCACGTATAACTCTAAAAAATCTTTCCTTGACTGGTTGAAAAACTCTCCGATTACCATTTCTACGTCTTCATCGTCAACAACTTGCATACTAATGTATTGTGATTCATAACATATTCTTGCAGTGACCATATTGATAGATTTTTTACCTTCAAGTGCTAACTTTTGACGAATTTTTTGATGTAGTTCGGTAATTGTTGAGTTCCGCATGATACGCGTTGGCCTTTTCTCACCTTCAAAAATGACACCACGTCGACCTTCCATTTTCCTACAATTATAATATAAAACAACACGAACAAAATCAGAATGTTAACTCATTCTTAACTATGTTAATAAAGAAAAACACAAAACAGAGTATGCATAAGCAAGTGAGACTGTATCGAAGACTAAGAAGTTAAGATGAAGAGTTGTGATGAATGTGGAGATGAGAGGTGTTTATATAGGAAAAATAGGTGGCATTCACGCCCAAAGTGGGCTGGAAAGGGGGCTGATTTACGCCTAGATGGGGCAGGAATATCCTTTGATTCACGCCTGCATGGGGCGTGACTAATCACGCCTATTTTGGGCGCGAATGACGTGGAATTCACGCTTAACATGGGCGTGAATTGTCCTGCCCATTTTGGGCGTGAATGACTGCAATAGATTCGAACATAGTTTCCAAACTGCAACCTATTCGTAATTAATTATTAAAAGTTTAATATTTTAATTTTTTTGCCGGAGTTTGTAAGAATCTCTCCTGGTTGCGTGCATGACAGTACATAAAAAGGCTTTTATCCCATTCGAGAAATGGGAATATTAAATTAAGAGACAACACCAATTCCGTGCAGGATATGATTTGCCTTGTGACGGAAAAACCTGAGTTAGCTGCACTAACATCCTTCTACCACATGACAAAATATGACTTTAGATTTGGTAGAGTAAGAACGTCTTTCTCCCACATAGCAAAACATATCACACTGGACCCAGTAGTGAAACCCATGAAGCACCGACACTTTAAAATTTCTGACGTGTCGTGTCCGACACTCCGACACTTCCTGACACTTTAATACTCGTTACAAAGACTCGAAAAAGGTTCAAATGTTACATTACATTGCGTTGCATTTTGAATTTTAACTATTAGATTCGTTGGATTATGATTACTATTTTATTGAGTTTAATACAAATATTTAGGATATCTTATTTTTCTTGCAAAATTGATGAGTATTATAAGTTTAACTTTATTTTTTTATTAAATTATTGAATATTAAATATAATATACACTACGTAAATTATAAATATTATATAATATCAAAACATATACTAACGTGTCAAAATGTAACATTGTTAAGAATTAACGTGTCGGAGTGTCATGTCGTATCCCGTGTTCTGTGTCGATGTCGGTGCAACATAAAGTGAAACTTTAGGTATGGCACGATGAGAAATAATTTGTGAAATGTACCCCCAAACAAAAGTGTGACATTTTGGACAATGCTCCGTTAAATCCACAATTGATTTTCTATAATGTTGTTTTTTATTATTTGTTTATTTATTTATTTTTACCTATCGATTTCCTTTTTATGTGATGTGACCGGGGAGGTTTGAAATATGGTTCGGAAATAAGTTAAAAAAAAAAAAATGATCATGCGCGACATAATGTCGTCATCGAAACGGTTGATCCATAACAAAAAGTCGTAACGTAGCTTCCATTTCCTTCCTTATGACGACACTCTCTTTTCCTTCATCTCTTTCTTCCTTCTTCAGTTATTCCATCCCCAACTCCAACTTCCATTTGCACAAACAAACACATCATTCTTTCCATGACCTTCGATCACGGCCCCAATCCAAACAATCTTCCTTTTCCTTAAATTAGGATTCGTGTTCATCGTACAACAATAAACCCTCCCCACACGCGCCTTCTATTTCTCCGTTGACTCCAAAATCCCAATATTTCAAACCTATCTGTTTCTCATGTCTCTAATTGAGGTTTGTTCTCTTCTCCCTAAAGCTTCCTCTGCTTTTCGTCAATGGCGATTGTTTTATCCTTCTTCTTCTTCTTTTCAGGATCTCTGGCCACTGCTCCACCTCGACCATGTCGTCGGAAAAACAGAATCGATTTTGCGGTCTGTACACGAATCCATAACGAACTCCACCTGTGAAAGAAGCAGCGAGTTAGAGCACTGTCGTGATGAGTCAGCAGCGTTCGTGCTCAAATTCGTGGCCATAGCGTCGATTCTAATCGCAGGGTTTGGGGGAATCGCGATTCCGTTGGTTGGGAAACACCGGCGGTTCCTGCGCACCGACGGGAACGCGTTCGTGGCGGCGAAGGCGTTTGCGGCGGGGGTTATTCTAGCTACGGGGTTCGTTCACATGCTGAAGGACGCACAGGAGGCACTCAACGACCCGTGCTTGGGTCCATACCCGTGGTCCAAGTTTCCTTTTCCGGGTTTCTTAGCTATGATGTCAGCGCTGTTCACTCTCCTCGTGGACTTTGTGGCAACTCAGTATTACGAGCGCAAACAAGAACGACGTCGTGTTGTTGATGTTGATGTCCTTGACGATGAGTCGTTGGAATCGGGAATCGTGCCGGTGGTTGAGGTTGTTAATGGGTTTGGGGAAGAAGCAAGCGGTGGAATGCACATTGTTGGGATGCATGCTCACGCGGCCCACCATAGACACACCCACCGCGATAAGGAACAACACCACGGCCACAGCCACTCTCACTCTTTCGGAGGCGAAGATGACGCGGAAAGTAGCGTCCGCCACGTCGTCGTTTCGCAGGTAACATCTCTTTTTCTTGCTTTTTGACGAATGGAAAGTAAAATTAGAAGCATTTTAGCAGTCCAAGAGCCTTTTTGCATTTTTTTTAGTTAAAACTTATTTTTAAGTTAAAGTAAAAAAAAAATTTTAAAAATGAGTTTGTTATATAAATTTTTTAGCTTAAAAATTATTTAAAAATATTTAATTTCACAAAAATGCACTTTTAACCTAAAAAAGTTCATCCTAGTAGTTTTTGACTTTTTATTTCATTATAAATAAAACTGTTTTTATTATAAAATTTTTTGTAAAAATATGTTCTTCTTATAAGGAGTTCAAATAAGTACTAATTTTTAATGAAAAAAGATGAAACACCCCCCCCCCCCCCCCCCAAAAAAAAACAAATGTACATTTAAGTCAAAGTGGCTGGTGTGCACTGCTTGTTGCATAAGTCAGTTTTTTTTTTCTTTTGACTATTGTGCCTTTTATTAATTAAAAAATAATAAATTTTCTTTTGACCCAAAACATTCCATCTGCGGGTGTTTGTTTCAAGTTTTTATAGAGGATTACCGGTAATCTTTCTTTGGTAAATGTAATTACCATGTTTGGTAGAAGGAATAAATTACGATTCCCGGATATCCAAGGATTACCGGTAATTTGATTTATAAAGAAAAGTCACTATTCAGATTACCAAAAATAATATGGTAATTCAGAATACCAATCAGAATACCAAGTAAAGGGAAAGCACAACAATAAATTTTGAGACAAAAATACCCCAATACACATAAAAATCTAGACCCAATCTATCAATTACAAAAGTAAAAATAGTTTGAGATTATTTTTGTAAAATAACCTCATATTCCAAGTCATATTTCGTTCTAAACCAAATATGGAATCAGTAATTTTTACCCAATATTTCCGGTAATATTTTGGCGAACCAAACACCTCTTTCGTAAGATTCCAAGTAAACTCAATTTCTACTGAATTCCCATTAATCATGATTCCCGGTCACCAAATTTTTTTTCTTGTATCAAACACACCCTCAATGTATTCATGTTTAACCATTCACTGAAGTTTAATCGGTTATATCGATTAAACCTTCCATTGACTGTTGATCCGCAATGTAATCAAATACACTAATCGATTAAATTGTGGCAAATAATGCATCTGAAGCACAATTTATGCATTGCGAAAAAGTATGAAACTTCACAAGGGAATAAAAGAAGAAGGGAAAACATTTTCTCATCTATCTTATACGAGGTTCTCATGTTGTGACCCTTCGATTTGCATGTAATTTTGTTTTTTTTTTTTGATAAATGTGGAGCTCATCGCTTGTTGAGTCACAACTCAATTCTCATGCAACGTAAGAAAATCAAACTTCTTAAAAGAAATATTCAAAAGAAAATCATTCTCTCATCTTACAAGAAAGAGTTATCTTATATCACTTTCACTTCAAAAATAGTGCCACCACTTTTTTGTTTTTTTTTTTAAATGGGTGGCGGGTCCCACCACATGATGCAGGAGATTCTTATCTTCGATAGCATAATAAAATTGAACTCCATATTCAAAATGCTACGACAAAAACACACCAAGTTAAAGACAAATTGGGGGAATGTTGTACAGAAAACCTCTTTGAGCTTTTGAATAACATGTTTCCTTTTGTCTTCCTCTTCTAGCGAGGGAACAAGTCCTTCATTAGCAATGAACTGCAAAAGGTTGAACCCAAAAAAAGAAAGATATAAACTTTAAAGAATGGCTTGAAATTGCTAAACCCAAAAATAATGCCTCCACAGAGAATTCAAAGTAAGGATAACAAATTAAAAATTAAATATAAATAATTTTTTACTAAAAAAAACAGTGATTCGTGCGTAGATGGTGGCTTGAACCTCCTAAAGCAGAGGATTGCAGTCGTAACTGAAACAAGAAGCAGCAACGAAGTCAATGCGATCCCGACGGTGAAAACAACGATTTTGGTATGCTTCTTCAACTTGTTAATCCAAGGTGGAGAGAAGGTGGATTCAGAGTGGAAGCAGATTAATTGAAGCCACGGAATCCCTCGTTGACACGGCAATTGTTATAGCTTGAGAAGTAAGGGTCTTGTGTTTCATCCCAATCAACCTCGATCCCCATTGAAAGGATTTCGGCGAGGTGGCTCAGAACATCGCTTTGGCAGTGGTGCATAGATCTACAGTCTCGGAGAACCTCAACAGGGTTCTTGATGGGTTGCATTAAAATCCAAACCTGAATACTGAAGTTCAACTTTGGGCACATGAAGGTGTAATCTGTTTGCGCGAATGGAGCTGCTCTCCATATGGTATTTTGACCAAAAGGGGATTATTCTATTTGCGGCAGTATAATCGATTAAATATTCCGAGTCAACTGTTAAATATGAGCTATGATGCACAGAGGTCCGTTTGATATCCAAAAACTGCTCAGCAACAGTCGGACAAGTGGGGAATGTTAAAAAATGTCATATTTGGACACGTTGGGACACGTTTTGATATTAAATAAATTTTTTAATATATATAATATGATTTATATTTAATACATATAAGAGTCCATAATAAGTCATATAACCAATTAAATATTTAAATTTCATAACATAAATATAAATATAAATAATTTTTCGTAGTTTGTTAATTTTTAATGTCAAATTTTATAACAGAAAAAAATTAATTTATAAATTATTTCTTTTATATTTAGTTAACAAAATAAAATTACGATTTAAATAAATAAATAAATAAAAATAAAAAAAACGTGTCCGAACGTGTCTCCAAATGTTGACCGCGTGTCTTTAAATATTGACCGCGTGTCGGAACGTGTCAGAGAGTTGATCGCGTGTTCCCAAATGTTGACTGCGTGTCCGAGCGTGTCCGTGTCGGACACGTGTCCGACACGTAAATTTAAAAAAAATTCGCATGTCCGTGTAAGGGAGAATATGAGCACATTGGTGAAATATTTTGGGTTATGGACAAATTGATTATTTTTTAATTAATGAGGAACACGATATAAATCATGTGAATTGGGTGATATGTGACTTCAATACTTACTATCAGAAATTACATGCATTAGATTAGTAAATCATTTAAAAAAAATTAAACCTATGAATAATTACACAATTAAACAGCATAAAAAGCCAATTTTCTCCGTTTTTTTTTTCCTTTTCACTTCCTGTCTAAGTAACATCCCTTATTTACTTTCTCTCTCTATCTATATTTATATACTTTATACACACCTTGTAACTCCATTTTATTGTTTTTAGACTTGGCTTTATAGTGTGTGCACAGGTATTTTTAAATAAGAATTTTCTAAAACTTGAAATAAAAAATGTGTGCTAATTAATAATGATAGAAAAGTAACAAATGATACAATTGTTTGAGATCTGGTTTATATGCAGGTATTGGAACTTGGGGTTGTATCACATTCGGTGATAATTGGATTATCTCTAGGAGTTTCACAAAACCCTTGTACCATGAGACCCTTAATTGTGGCATTATCCTTCCATCAATTCTTTGAAGGGTTTGCACTTGGTGGGTGCATCTGCGAAGCCCAATTCAAGACCTTATCGGCAACAATAATGGCTTGTGTTTTTGCACTAACAACGCCACTGGGTGTTGCTATTGGGACGTGCATTGCTTCAATTTTTAACCCTTACAGTCCTGGAGCACTGATCACTGAAGGCATCTTGGACTCCTTTTCAGCTGGGATTTTAGTGTACATGGCTTTAGTGGGCTTAATAGCTGCTGATTTTCTTAGCAAGAGAATGCGTTGTAATTTTAGACTGCAGATAATATCTTACTGTTTGCTTTTTCTTGGAGCTGGATTGATGTCTTCGCTTGCAATCTGGGCATGATCCTTTTCAGTGTTGTTGTAATTCTAATTCTTCAATATTTGGGAAATGCAAGTTTCATGTTACATGAGATTCATTATCTCATATGATATACACAAAGTGAGGTTCATTTTTCAAAAATAAATAAATAAATATTAGTTCAACTTTTGATATATGAGCAGGAGGATATGTTATTTTATACTACATGAAAAAAAATATATCTCTTTATATTTAGGGAAAATGATTTCTGTTTCAAAGTCAGAAACCATTTGTCTATTGTAAGGAGAGAAAAAAAGAGATGGGAGAGAAAGAATAAAGAAAGAGAGAAACCATAAACATGAAAAGGTGAGAGAGAAACCACAAAGAGAAAGAAACCGTAAACATGATGGACTTTATTCCAAAAAAATTTCTGGAGTTAGACAAAAGTTTTCTGCCTATGAGGCGGAAATCATTTCCCCTTATATTTATGGGAAATAAAAGAGTTATGTAACAGGAATCACAAATTTTTTTCCTACACTCACAGCTTTCATTGATAACAGTGCCTTTTTTTTTTTTTTCAAATTTGTGGGTCCACTGAAAGTTGTATCTACAGGAAAATCATTTTGATTCCTGTTACATAACTTTAACATTTCCCTATATTTATACCATTCATTTTGTTTTTCTTTAAACTGTAGTCTTATTCCTTTCTATAACTAATTAATTCGAGATGAACATTGATTAATTAAAAAATATAAGCTAACAATTAAAGACAATTTATCTCGCTTTGGCTTGCTCTACTTCGCATCTCGTATATGAAACATTTAAGTTAATTTTGTTACTTGTTATTTATGTTCTTAGCTTCTAATATGCATTTACTCAATTTATTAATTTTTAAATGAAAGAGGTAGAAATATTATCATGGCATTCAATTATAGAAGATGATGGTTTAGTATTATAATTAATTGTGTTATCTGTATAAATTAATGTTTAAAAATTTTTTGTGTAGGAATTGGGTTGAGCAATACTCACTGGAACTCTTCTTGTTGCTATGCCCAAAAACTTAGAAAGAAGCAGTGTTGTTAAACATGGACTGATCCGACCGGGTCGACTCGGGTTCCGGTTACCCAGTGAGATGATCGGTTTGGATCACTATTTGGACCGGACATGCATTCAGCCCGTAAAGACTCGTACGACCTGCCCGATTTTTTACGGATCCCGTTGACCCGCCGAATTTTTTCTTAAGTCCGGGTGACCAAAAAGAAAAAGAAGCAAAAAGATCTCCCTCATCGACAAGCTCTGTGTAGAAGTTACTAAAAGCTTCGTCGCCTTAGGATGAGGGGTCGCCGGTCATGAAGAGGAGATGGGAATCGACGAGAAGAAGTGTTACTTGGCGAGCTGAATGTGTCTTTAGTAATGGCAGTCACCATCACATGACTAAAGTTGTAAGCTTTGCCTTACATTGCCTCAAGGGTTTCGTCCCCAAAACAAAAAAATATGATATTTTTCCATATAGATCAAGTGGTTGCCAAACAGGTATGCTCCACATTCAGCATTCCATGGTAACAGTGAGTGTAGCGCTCCTGGCCGTGGGATTTGAGAGCGAGAGAGTAAAAAAAAAGGAGAGTAGAAAAAGTCATTAAAAGCAGGGATTTTTGGCCAATCAGAAAGCATCACGCAGATTTGTGTTTTCTATTCCTCCAAAATCAAGTGAATTGATCAGCACCGTCCCTTCCCAAGTCCAAGATGTGATGCAGTCCGTCCATCAACAAATGTTGATTATATATATATAGGGTCAGGATCATTTTACATCAGTATAAGTTACACTTTCAATCTTGTCCGTTGATCCCACTTATATTCAAGGGCTCAAATTTTTTAGTATGTGAGCCATTGGATACAAGTGATCAATGATCAAGAGTGTAAGACTTCTAACTCTTACACTAGTGTAAGAATATCCTGCCTCATATATATATATATATATATATATATATATATATATATATATATATATATATTATATATATCCGGGTCAACCGGTCCGACCACTGATCCAGTAATCCAGTACCCCGACCGGGTCGATACCCGGTTCGGGTTTAATAACACTGGTAAGAAGTGTTCGTTTCTAGTAGGCACAAATATATGATTTGATCGTAACTATTTATTGATGATTGGATAATAGAGAGAAAAATATATGATTTTTAAATTAGTGATTATGGTCAAATAACATTACCACAAAATCCTCAAATAATAATATGGCAACAAACGGCAACAAACGTGTTAGCACATATTGCTAAACACTTATCTTTTGCTCCCTGATGTTTAATTATGAGTTAAAAAAGATTTGATCAAGAGAAAGCACGCTCACTTTTTTCTTTTTAAATACGAAAGCACGCTCTCTTGTTAGGCAAGAAAAGACGACCAACTTTAATGAGCTCTTTATATTTTGTCAAGCATATAATTTATATATGGGTTATAACCTACCAAGTTTTTTTAAAAAAAACACAAGGCGAATAGAGGGGGACATAATACTATTAATAGTATGGGATAAATAAATCTCATGTGGTAGGAATAAAGTTCCTCTCATATTGTGAGAGCTCGATTTTCATGTAAATATATATATATATATATAAATATATATATATATATATATATATATATTTTTAAACTAATGAGCTCACTTAATTGTATGTGTAAGAAAAAAGCTCCTCTCATGTTGCATGAGAAAATGCAATCTCTAATAGTATATATAAAAATTATAGTTGTTTTTTATTTTATTAGACAAGTTTCTCAACTACAATATTGAGTGACTCGATAACGTTAAAAGGAAAAACAACAAAATTAGCAGACCAATAATACAAACTACATATATTATTACCATATAAGCTCGAAAACTTGCGGGGACACTTTCCCCTACTCTTTTAAGCTTAGGTCCCTCCCGGTCCATAACCACTCGTTATCAAATCTTTTCTTTTAATTTTAAGAAATTTTGTTCATGCATCCTTGTCATCATGAAGTTTATAGTTAAGTTTTACAAAAAAGAAAACGAAAGAAAATGTACTAAAAGTCCAAATAAAACAATATACATACAAGGGAAGCTAACCCCGAGCTATCACCACAATCCACAATCCACAATCACACTCTCATCTCACCTTCTTCCTCTCTTTTTTCTTTCTTTCATTTTAAACTTTTCTTGAACCCTGGTCTAGCTTAGGTGGGAGATTAAAGTTTTCTCCACTTTTTAACCACTCCGCAGTTTCTACTACACAATTTTATTTTATTTTATTTGGTTATAAAAGTAAGCTTCATTTACAATGTTATTATATAAGAGCTATACAATCAGATAATTAATGAATCGATAGATAAATTAAGAAATATGAGATGTATACAATTGTTTTTGCTCAATTGTCGTTTGTTTATATGACTTGTTCACACACAGAGTCTTAATATAGTTTGGGGAAATACCAAGAGATAAAGATAAAAATAAAGAATATAACTAATACTTTTTGAAATTTTGAAACAACAAATAAATGAAACAATCAAATTTTTCTGAATTAACAAATTTTTCTAAAGCAGTTCCACAACTCTTTAGCAAATTTAATGCTTGGTGCGTCTAGCTATCTAGATAGACAAGAACGAGTTTTCTGATGTTTGCAATGTTCATTTATGAAAATTAAAACTTTTGGTGCGGGACTGATATCTTCATTAATTGGTCTCACCAACAATGTGTGAGTGCAGCATAATTGTGCGCCTGTGGAACTTCGGAAGTAATTCCAAGATGGATATATCTTCTGACTGTACCTATGTCCGGATAGGGGTAATTAGTGCACATTAATATTGAAACCCTACACCAATATCTCACTACAATACAATACAATACACCACACCACAACACAAGCCCTGCCATTTCAATTTCAAATCATAAAAATGGTAACCATTGTTGTCCAACTTCTTATTGTCGGGAAATTCGTTCCCTCAAACTCCAATGTCAAGCGGGTCCAGGAAGCCCGTGACGGGGAACCACCACCAATGAGCTAAGGCTACACCAACCGTAGCAAGTGGATCTAACACCATGTCTCAACCCAAAACCTTAAGGCATTGGGTTCATGGGTCCTTTCACTTATATACTCTTCACTTAGCTCATTACCAACCAATGTGGGACTCATTACACTTGAATATCTCAACAATCTCCCCCTCAAGTGTGAAACCCACCATTGGTATGCCCCCTCTCAACCGAGTACCCAAAGCGCAAAGTACTAAACCCGCCTCCTAGCCAATCACTAGGCTAGATCGAGCCCAATCCGGCTTTGATACCACTGTTGGGAAATTCGTTCCCTCAAACTCCAATCTCAAGCGAGTCCAGGAAGCCCGTGACGGGGAACCACCACCAATGAGCTAAGGCTACACCAACCGTAGCAAGTGAATCTGACACCATGTCTCAACCCAAAATCTTAAGGCATTGGGTTCATGGGTCCTTTCACTTATATACTCTTCACTTAGCTCATTACCAACCAACGTGGGACTCATCATACTTGAATATCTCAACACTTATTTGTATGAAAGTCACATTTCATATGAGCACTGAAGTGGCATACTCTGCTCCGCAACCTTACAGTTGACACAATTTTTACATGTACTTTCATTTGAGTACAAATGTGTCGTTGAACCTAAGAGAGTCATAACATTGTTCTCCAGAAACACCCTCACTCACATAAATGACTAATATCCCATTTCCAAGTTTTGAATCAAGCTCTACAAGGCAACAATGAATTTACAAATAATCATATATAGACTTATGTCGATATTGGTCAGTTAAGCTCAATGTCAAAAAAATATAGTACTCTTTCTAAATACAAAATAACTGAAGAAGGATCATTCAGTTCATACTCTAATCCGGCTTCTCTTTAAATTTAATTAAGAGAAAACAACATGAACAATGAACTGGCAAAGAATATAATGAAAGAAAGAAAGAAAACCGAAACAAGAATCTAAAATTAAAACGAAGCCATATATTAAAGTAACAGCAACAAAGTTTTGCATTTAGTAACAGTACT